GGAAATGTATTCTTTAAGCTCAGACATCTAAGGACTCATACAGTTAAAGTTCCAAGGAACTCAAAGTCAAATTCCAAAATCACTGGCCTCATGAGAAAACAGATTGCCATGAGTGTAATTTATGTGAAATGAAAATTCACATAATTATTCTAATCAGATATTGGAATTATCTAATGCAGAAAATAAAACAATATTTAATATTTTTAAAGAAAAACACTCATCATCACTGGTCATTAGAGAAATGCAAATCACAACCACATTGAGATACCACCTCACACCAGTTAGAATGGTGATCATTAAAAAGTCAGGAGACAACAGATGCTGGAGAGGATGTGGGGGAATAGGAACACTTTTACACTGTTGGTGGGAATGCAAATTAATTCAACCATTGTGGAAGACAGTGTGGCAATTCCTCAAGGATCTAGAAATAGAAATTCCATTTTTACCCAGCAATTCCATTACTGGGCATATACCCAAAGGATTATAAATCATTCTACTATAAAGACACATGCATATGTATGTTTATTGCAGCACTGTTCACAATAGCAAAGACTTGGAACCAACACAAATGCCCATCAATGATAGAGTGGATAAAGACAATGTGGCACATATATACCATGGAATACTATGCAGCCATAAAAATGGATGAGTTCATGTCCTTGGCAGGGACATGGATGAAACTGGAAACCATCGTTCTCAGCAAACTCACACAATAACAGAAAACCAAGCACTGCACGTTTTCACTCATTAGTGGGAGTTGAACAATGAGAACACATGGTCACAGGGAGGGGAACATCACACACCAGGGCCTTGGGGGTGGGGGCTAAAGGAGGAATACCAGGAGGTGGGGCATTGTGAGGGGATAGCATTAGGAGAAATACCTAATGTAGATGACGGGGCAATGGATGCAGCAAACCACCACCATGGCACATGTACACCTATCTAACAAACCTGCACAATCTGCACATGTTCCCCAGAACTTAAAGTATAATTAATTAATTAATTAATTAACAAAAGAAAAAATGTAGACATTAAAAGTAATGATGAGGAAACCAAAAAAACTATCTAAGTAATAAGAGTCATTTGAAAAAATCCAAATGCAAGTTCTAGAAATGAAAGATTTAGTATCTAAATTTAGAAAAAATTCTGGGAAGAAGTATGGCATAATATGTTTAAAAGTGACCAAATAATTCTCTCACCATATCTATGGTCTCAGGTCGTCCCTTTTCACATTGACTCTGAGTGTAGCCATTTGAAACACTTTGGCCAAAAGAAAAAGAGCCAACATAATTTAAGCAGAGGCTCAAGAAGAGCTTATACATTAGGGTGGTTCTACTGATGTTACTGGGAATCCTACACCTACAATTGTGTCAAGAAGCCCAGGCTAACCTGCTTGATAGTGAGAAAGACACAGCTGAGTGATCCCCGATACTCTGACTAACATCAAGCCAACCTCCAGACATCTGAGTGAGATGTTCTTAGGCACATGAGACCCAACAGCGCTGCTGGCTGACTACAGAAACCAAACAATCTATCTCAGACCAAGGGAATAACTCAGCCAATCCAGAAGATTATGATGAATGTTAAACATTTATTGTTTTAAGCCACTGTTTTTGCATAACAAACAAGACACTAATAGAAACAAGAACCAACATATGAGACAAACAAATTAGACACAGTTGAAGAGAAAGTTAGTGATATAGAAGATCAGAAGAAAGTATTCAGTATGTACCATAAAGAAACAAAGAGATGGAAAAATGAGAGAATGATCCATGGAGCATAGAGTGAGGAAGTCCAACGTATGTCTAATTGGAGTTCCAGAATGAGACAATAAAGAAGGCAGGGGCAAGGAAATATTTGGAGATACAATGGCTGACACTTTTTCAGAATTATTAAAGAACACCAATCCTTAATGAAAGTTCAATTTAGGAAGTCCGGTGAATTCTAAGGAGGAAAAAACCTGAATGACATCAGCACCTAAATGCATTATGGTTAAAGTGCAGAACATCTAATAAAAAGATCACAACAAATCCCAAATTGAGGAAAGGATGCAAAATCACTGAGTTTTACTCTCAAAAGTGTGAAGGTCATAAAAGACAAAGAAAGATCAAGAACATTTCCTAATTAAAAAAGACTAAAAGGCATAATTAAAAATTAAAAATAACTAGAACTGAATTCTAATAGCAATGCTAATTAAGACTTGTGGGATTTGGCCAAGAAGATACTTAAACACTGCTATCCTTAAATGTTTTATTAAGAGAGAAGACAGGCTGTAACAAATGACTTAAGTATCCATCTTATCATGCAGTTTTTAAAAAATTAATCCATAGAAGATAGAAAAAGGTGATCATAAACAGGAGAATAGAACTTCATGTAATGGAAAACAAGCATCAGCAGAATCTAAAAGCTGGTTTCCAAAAAGACTACTAGAATTGACAAATCCTTGAAAATATTAATCAAGAATAAAACAGAGCCAGGAACAGTGGCTTACACCTGTAATCCCAGGACTTTAACAAACAGAGACTGGAGCATTGCTTGAGCCCAGGAGTTTGAGACCAGACTGGGCAACATAGCAAGACCCCATCTCTACAAAAACTAAAAAAATAAGCTGGGACTACTCAGGAAGCTGAGGCAAGGGAATTGCTTTAGCCCAGGAATCTGAGGCTGAAGTGTGCTACGTTCACACCACAGTACTCCAGGAAGAGTGACAGAGGGAGAACTTGTCTCAAAAATAAATAAATAAAACAGAATGCACAAAATAAGCCATACGGGGAATTTAAAAGAGGAGCATATCTCTAAATGTAGCTAAGATTTAAACAGTTATAAGCAGACCCATAAACACTTTGGGTTGATATATTTTAAAATTTAGGTAAAAGATTCCTAGGAAAAAATCAGATTATCAGAATTGATTTAAGAGGAGAAAGAAAATATGATCATTAAAGAAATTAAATAAGGTCTTTAAAATCTTCCCCAAAACAAACAAACAAAAAAAGACCCACAGAGGTTTTATGAGGAAATTCTAACAAACATTCAAGGAACAATTATTTCCAAACTTATGCAAAGCTCTTTTTGAAAGTAGAGTATACATATATCATCTTCCCAGTTCATTTTAAAAGCCATTGTAACCCTGATTTTTTAAGTAAAAAGAGAAAAGGGGGGAATGGCAATAAAGGGAATTAAAGGTTATTTTCACTTACAAGCATATAAACATTAATTTTTTAAGGGTCTGAATCTTGCTCTGTTGTGTAGGTTGAAATGCAGGGGCATGATTACACTCACTGCAGCCTCAAACTACTGGATTCATATCTGAGTATGATCATGCCCCATCTCACCCTCTCAAATAGCTGGGACTACAGGCATGTGCCACCATGCCTGGATAAGTTTAAAAAGAAATTTCAGAATCAAGGGTTTTGCTATATTGCCCAGGCTGGTCTCCAACTCCTGTCCTCAAGTGATCCTCTTGCCTCAGCCTTCAATGCAGTAGAGGACTCCTGTGCCTAGAAGTATTAATCTTACAGAAAATAATTAACCAAATTTTGGGATTTATAATCTAACATGCCCTGGCCATATCTGGTTTATTCCACAACGAAAGATTGGTTCATCATTAGAGAAACATGCTAATGTAAATCTCTTCATTATAAGAATAAACGAGAAAAACCAGAGGAGGAGAGTTTCCTGGGAAGAAGTTAGGCATCTTAACCAAACATAAAGGAACAACTCTTCCAAGTTTAAAGGTGACGGAGGAAGGAAGATAACGAGAGCTTGATCAAGGGAGGAAAGGTCTGAGCGCTGTGGGAATGAGCGTCTGGGAAGGGATGATTGTCCCGGTGTTTTTACTTCACAGAATGACAAGAAAATAATGTATGACCTCATATAAACATTAATTTTCCAAGAGAGTTCAGATGCATCCGTCACAATCGGGCATTTGACACAGTGTTGCAGGAGTGTTGACATCAACAACCGGTGGCCGGTCTGGTATGTAGGCCCTGAGAAGATGCATAGACTTAAAAAAACATTCCTTGAAATCAGCCTTTGCTCCTAAGCATAAATTCAGTATTATAACAGATATTCCCAACATCCAGGGGGTAGCCTGTATAGGTTCAAGGCATTTTACTAATATGTGGCATCTCTTTTAGAAAAAAATCCTCAACTCTCCCTGTTGGTAATTACAGTCCTCGAGTGACAAATCCCCAGGTGCAGTGACTGCCTAACAAGGGGCACCCGAAGCCACTCTCCTAACATTTCCACTTCTTGATGGAGGAATGCCAGATCGTTTTTTGTTTTTGTTTTTGTTTTGTTTTCCTGAGACGGAGTCTCACTCTGTCCTCCAGGCTAGAGTGCACTAGCATGATCTCTGCTCACTGCAACCTCTACTTCCTGGATTCAAGTGATTCTCCTGCCTCAGCCTCCCAAGTAGCTGGTACTACAGGCACATGCCACCATGCCTGGCTAATTTTTTTGTGTTTTTAATAGAGACAGGGTTTCACTGTGTTAGTCTGGATGGTTTTGATCTCCTGACCTCGTGATCAGCCCACTTTGGCCTCCCAAAGTGCTGGAATTATAGGCATGAGACACCACGCCTGGCCAGAATTCCAGATTTTTAAGAAAGAAGTAGCTACAGGAATGACAGCCTTAACTCATGCCAGTTTACCTGGAATATGGGTGCTGAATTCACTGAATATCATTAAAAATATTGCTTCAATTTTCGCCATTAAATCTATGTGAAACAATTTTCTGAAATGATGACGATAAATTTGTTACTGGAAAAAGTTGAACATCCCAGCGCCATTTGGTATTACATTGTTGAATATAGGTTCCCGAATTGAAAACAAAATGACAAACTTGTGTTTTAAAAGTTGCATATTATAAAGTGTCAGAAATTTTTAAGGTAAAAATTTCTTGCATCTGAACTTAGAAAGGTAAGGAACTATGTTTCTTCTTTGCTATCATAAGCTTTCTGTCTTTTGTGTTACAGTAACCTTTATTTTATGAAATGGTGGTGATTGTAAGTGATAGATTTTATTTAATAACTTTCTTAACAAGGTAAATAATGGCCAGTTTGTGCCGTATTACATTTGTAATTTTATGGATGTCTGAAACAGAGAATCTGGGAAACGGAAGCCTGGGCTCTTATCATAGCACGTATCACAACTGATCCTATTAATTTCAATATGTGTCTCCCCCATGAGTTATGGTAGCCCTTGAGGGTGCAAATTGTGATTATTCCTACAACATCTTAGTGGATGCTGGCACACCAGAAATGCAACGTAAGCAGTTTCCACAGAACTGACATCACACATGTGCTCCCGGTAGACACACTGGAGGAATTCTGGCACATCTAGTAGAGCACGCTGGGCAGTTAGGAAAAGGGCACATTATAAGGAACTGTGGTAAAGAGTCCTTTATTTTATATCTTGGACAATCACAATATTGATGGGGTCAGAGACAACCCATCAATTGTACTTAAGACTCAATCCTTTGCCAAACTGTGAAAAACATTCTTCCAGTCCCCTCTGAAAGCCTGACTCCCAGAAATGTCCAGGGCATGCCTCCGGAGACCCTCTCCACGTCTTTCTGGTGGGAAACTCACTCTCGTTTAGCAGCTGGGGCTGCGGGAACTGATTGCACTGCACAGGTAGTCAGCCACTGTCTTTGGAGCTGTTGCTATTATCCTGGGAGACTTCCTTGTATAACCTTCCTTGTAGTGGGCTCCTGTGCTCCTGGGAGTCCTGTAGGCAAAATTCTTGAAGATGGGGATGAAATATCCTTGACACACATGGCTGCTTGCAAGCAGTAGCCAGCCAGCAACTCCTTCTTTAGCTGTCTATTGATACCCTACTTTTTTCTCAATCCAGAGGCAGACGCTGCGGGAGACATTTACCATGCGAAGTGACATCCACGTTTCATGTTCTGTGGTGAGGATACCTCCTTTCCACTGGGGTCAATAAGAAGCATATATTTACATAAAAGCTATGAAAATATACCTGCTTTGCTTATGTATATTTGACAAATCATGCAAAGTGAGATCTTCTTTCTATAAACTTCTGCCTCTTTTCTCTGAGCAAAGAAGAGCAGGTTTCCTTTCATGACATCAGTTCTGGTACATTTTCGCCTACGCTTTGCTCACAGTCTTCAAGACTGCAGCTCCTGACGGGGATCCCAGATGGCTTCATCCACTCCCACGCTGCTTGTGGGATGGGATGGCCCTGAGCCAGATGGGTCTACAGTGTGTCTGGGAGTCATGTTCCTTACCTTCTGCCCAGATTGATGGCATTCTCTCTCTTTTTTTAACGTCTTAAATTTATTTTGTTCTTTGAGTAGGTAATTTAATTTACATTGGTAGCATCTCAAAAACATATCAGCGTATCCAGTGTAGCGAAGTTTCTCTTCTGCTTCATCTCCCATTTACTAATTCCCGACAGTCCTCTCCATACGTCAGCATGGGTACTAGATTTTTTAATGCGTATACAAATAAAAATACATACGACAGTCCTCTTTACACAATAGCCGACACAGTAACACTATTACGCGCCTTGCTTTTTCATGTAATGATAAGTAAATGAGATGGTAGCAGAGACAGCTAGGTGTTCAGCAAACACACTCTCTTTTTTCCTAGGAAACAGTCACAGCTCGAAAGCAGCTGCTCAGCCAGAATCGCATTTCCCAGCCTTCCTTGAATCTGAATATGGACATATGACCAGTTTTTTCATGTAGAATGGGAGTAGGAGGCAGGCTGCACTCTCAGATCAAAGGCTTTCGGAAGTAACTTTGCCTTTACCGTGCCTCTGTTCCATTCCATCAGCTGGATGCAGACAATGAGGCCTTAGAGGACAACGGGATCAAAAGAGAAAAAGGGTGCAGGCCCCAGAGGGGAGCTGCCCACCAACCAGGAGAGCTAGACATCAGCCTCCATTGCATAGAGGCACTGCGGGCCAGCTGTTTACAGCAGTCTCGTTGCCAGGTTAGAAATTGCACCGCAGTGTCACACAGAACATCTTTCCTTTTGCTCCTGTTTTTGCAGCTGTTCACTAGTCCATTGGAAAAGGGGCTCATGGTTGCTTCAGACTGCCCCTCTCTGGGATATTGAAGTTGCTTCCAGCCTTTTGCCACTCAAAACGACACTGCTATGGATAGAAGTATACACAGACCATTTCATGTATGAATATCTTTCAGAGATATATTTCATGGTGAAATTGAAAATCTTATCTTAATATTTCCTTTAAATATGTACGTCAAATAAGGCCTAGGTACTACTAAAATTAATACAAAGTATATATATGTTATTCAGTTCCTGTTCTGAAGGGATTATATCAATAATCAAAAAACTAGAAGGCGACATCACGCAGCCCCATCTTACTTGTTTGAAGGTCACTTAACCAGCAGCCTCAACTATTTGCATTAAAAATGAATCCAATTGAAAAGTTAAATAGTTGTCTGGTTTCTCATGATAGATTACTTGAAAAGCCATGTGTTTCATTATAAATTAGTTCATCAGTTGTCACCTGGATCCTCATTTATCCTTACATTAAAAAACACACTCTGAAAAACAGTCTGGTCATGCGGCATACTTATAAACCAAATTAGAAGAGGGAGAAGAACGGAAGTCATGGAGTGTCTCTTTGAGGAAGGAGAGCAGGTGATGGAAAGAGCCAAGGAAGCATAAAAATCAAACAGAAGAGCTCAAAGGCCCAGGGAGAAGGACAATTTCAAGTCAGGGCTAACACTGCATTGCTATTTGCTGGCGCCATGAAATATCTCACAGCCAAAGGTAGGAAGGAGCCCGAGACCCGAATTGCTTAAGTCATATGTTGTAGGCTAAGAAGTATAACATTTTAACATTTTTAAAAAGCAAAGCAAGTAAAGAGCAAAGGAGAGGTATACTATTTTAATAAATTTTACCATGCCAAAAAGGAAGTTTGATGTCTACTTAGAAAACGTGCATGTGTAAAACAGGTCATTTCCTACCGAGCCTAAGGTGACCAAGCGTGGGCCGTGGACACCAGGTCCTGATAACTCAGAGCTCTCAGATGCGTGGTACGCGGTGAGCTGCTAAGCCTGGGGAGGAAAACGGGACAGTGAGAGGAACATCACCTTCTGGAAGAAGAGCGGAGTGCAGTCTCCTAGTGGAAACGCAAACGGCTTCCAGACGTTTGTGCTCTTCCCTGGGCTTTGTCATTGTGTCACCTGTGTAATATCCTTAAACATGCCCTTCTGACTTCCACCTGCACTACATGACATCCCAGTGTGGGCTGTGCCGGCTCAGTCACCAGGAATGGTATTTAATCAGGGCTGCAAGGCAAGCAGAGGAGACTCATTAAAGTCACGGCAGGACAGAAACTCAGGCTCCGAGCTGTGGCCTTATCCTGATGCTGCCTTTCTTTTCACCTGCCAATTACTTTCATGCACCTCCAACCTTCCGGCTCCTGCGCTAAGCTCAGATTAAGCTGGTTCACTTCTGGGAGGGAAGACCTTGAAGGAAGCTCCACCAGCCCGGCTGGGAATCAGGGCAGGTGCCCGTGCTCAGGGTCACTGCTGAATGGCCATCAGTGAGGCAGCTGGCAATAGCTACTGAGGGGGAGCCTCTCCCACTGAAGACACAGTCAGGTCCCTCGCTCCTCTCACAAGTATGGCGTTGCCTTTAGTCCCGTTTCTGTCGAGGAAGTTGTGTTCTTTATTTCCTCTACACATAAGAATGCAATATTCTTCTCCACCTTGTTTCATGAATTGCTGTTTAACATTGCGCATGAAACAGCCCCTGTGTCTCCCCAATCTCCCTCAAAGTGGGCTATGGAGGCCCTCACTGCGTTCAGGGAAGTGAGGACAACTTTGGATGAGCTGCGCTCCATCAAGAATGCCACGGTTAAAATGGCAAACAATCATGTTCTGTCTGAGTCTGTAAAAGGACCTCAGATTGTGAAAAGAAACACATGCGTTAGAACTCCTTCCTTGATCTGGAATTAACAAATGCAACTTTCTGATTATGCTAATCTGATAGGAGTTTAGCATAGAGCATATGCATTTGGATTCAGAATATTTCTTATTTACAAGCAAAACTAAATTTAATTTCCCCTTTCCATTTTTGCAGGTTTTAAAAACTTGAGGACATTGAGAAAGCACTCAGCACTGCCTCTGAGATGAGGATTTGGCCCACACTGACTTCACACCATTATCAAATTGGTATAAACATATTTATTGAAGTCAGCTTATTAAGAGGCATACTACAGCACCAGTGATCCTTCTCCATCCCCCTATTTTTAATCCAAAACATACACAATAATATTTTGTCAACCATCATCCTCAATGTAAAAAGAGTAGCTGTATTTGCATTCCACCAAATGGTTTACAAAGCATTTTCTCAAACATTATTTTACTCTGTTTGTTTACCAACACAAATAGAATTGGACAATAGCTTCATTTTATCATTCCAGGATCAGTTTGATCAAAATGGGAATACCCTAAGGTCCTTAGGCTCTTACATCCAATACAAATAACAATTCCCCTGAGAAAGCGTTTTTCCCATTTGGGTCCAAAAATCACCTGCATCGATATCAGCTGATGAGTTGGGGGTGACATCACTGATTAAAATGTTAAATTCCTGCTGCAGCCAGATAATGGGGGCCCTCATCTCTTCAGGTGGGGGCAAGGAGTCTGCATTCTGAGTCTTTTCCTGAGTGATCTTTGGCTTACTCAAATGTGCCTTCATAATTCTACACAAATGTAATGGCTACGTAATTGAAGTTCTTTCTTCACTCCTGTTCTTTCATCAGTCAATAAGGTTTTCAAAAGACCTGTGAAAATACAGTGATAATCTCTGCAACTTTCTATGACTACTTAAGGTTAAAAGTGTATTAAAAAATGGAAGGCAATTCTAGAAAGGCATCAGCCATACTATGTACGGTAGAGGATAATGTCTTCAGAGGTCCAGTGCCAGAAAGCTTGCTGTCATTTTTGGGTTCAGGTAGGTTTGGCGGAAGAAAGGCGTTAAAAGTGGACCTCAAGAGGATGGGTAGTTCTGGGTGTGGAGATCACAAAAGAGAAGGACTTAAGCAAAAGTGGGAAAGAACAAGGCAAGTTCACAGATGAATCCATGGTATGCTATAGACGGGGTGTCTCTATAGACGGGGTGTCTCTACAGACGGGGTGTCTCCTGAGTGCAGACAAGAAGAGGGGATGTCGTCTGCATCAAATTTCCAAATAATAACAAACTCAACTCACAAAAAGCCAGACTGCTTTTTATTATCACCGTGAGGGTGTAATTCTAAACTACTTCAGTGCTAAAATACTCTCTTAAAACAATCATGTCTTGGTCCAAGTTCTGTTAGTATTAAGCTTTAAGTCTATCTGTGAACTCCAAAGAAGCACATTTTTACTATTTATCCTTAATACAAGTTGTATTTGACATGATGGTTATTTCAGAGAGCTCAGCTACATGTGCCAGTTTGGAGAGTGAGTTTGCAAAGTTTTGGGATAATACAAGCTCACTTTGGACTCAGTGAATGTCTTCAAATCCTGTAGTAAAAATATGCCTGGGTTTTAAACAGGAGATTTACAATTAAAAACATGATAGCATAGTAGGAAAACAATGAAGCAATTTAATTAAGCTGCTCCAATTATGTTATTCTGTGACCACTTTCGGTTTTCACTGCATTTAAAATCTGAAGCAGGCCAGTGGCTTACACCCGTAATCCTAGCACTTTCTGAGGCCGAGGAAGGAGGATTGCTTGAGCCCAGGAGGTCAAGACCAGCTGGCAACACTGGGAAACCCTGTCTCCACAAAAATACAAATATTAGCCAGGTTTGGTGGTGTGCGCCTGTAGTCCCAGCTGCTCAGGGGGCTAACGGGAGGATCGCTGGGCTCAGGAGGTTGAGGCTGCAGTGAGCCGTGGGCACCACTACCCTTCAGCCTGGGTGACAAAAAGAGACGCTGTCTCGAAGATAAATAAAATAAAAACGTGAAGCAGTGGAACAATGCACCCTCTGAGGGGTAATGCTTCAGTTTGGGAAGTGCAATTTTAGTTTATGGATGAAATATTTTAATGAATTTGAATTGTACCAGTCTTGAACAAAGTACAGTGAAACATGAAATTTTAAAAGTATTTCTTAAAGATCAGTGCACTGAAATTACAGAGAATGGAATTAATTGTGGCTGTGACAAAATATAATGAAATGGATATTACACAGTAAAGCAGTCAAGTTTTGAAGAGAAATACCAGAAGAAATGACCAAAGGTGCTAGTCTTCCATGGCCAGAAAAAATTACATAGGCAACGCTTAGATACTTACATTATTTTCAGCAAGAATCAGGCCCTCATTATAAAGCAGTAAATAAAATAATGCCAATGTTTAAATCAGTCATTTTCTCTGATTTTTGAAGAGAAAGAAAATATTTTTTCTTGGACTTCCCTTGATCTTGGACTTCCCACCCTCCAGAACTATGAACCAATAAATTTCTGTTCATTATAAATTACTTGGACTGCAGTCTTACAGCAGCATAAAATGGAATAGACGGTGAGATTTTTTTTTTCTATGAAGACATTTTAAAACTGCAAGAAACAGACCTGCAAAAAAGAAAGACATGGATAGCATTATTTTAATTTCTGGAATTTATTGTGTAATAGGGAATTTATTTGATTTATTTATTTTTTGTTTCTATAGAGACAATTTAAAGATGCAAGAAACAAACCTGAAAAAAAAGACATGGATAGTATTTTAATTTCCGGAATTTATTATGTAATCTCTGCAAAACATATTATTTTTGAAGATTTTTGCTATATCTTTTACTTCAAGTGAAAGAAATTTTAAAATTAATAAAAAGCATCATTCAATTAGCTATTAATAAAGACAAATGAACAGATCGGGGCCTACTCTCTGCTGAACATGAATATGCAAAGAAGATTAATTTGACAGAGTTGTTGACAAATTGGCAAAAGTTAATGCTCGAACAGAAATTGTCATTTGATTATTCTTTCCTGTGACAAACAGAAACTGTTATCATTTCCCTGCATTATGCCACTTATGTACACCTCTGAGCAATGGATATTATGTTTTGTCTGTTTTAAGCCTGCAGACTCTGTATGTTACACACTATGGTTTGGATCTGCGTCCTCACCCACATCTCACGTCAA